GCCAGTGTACACACTTGCTTCAGATTGGAAGCGGCCCAAAGCCCGCGACAAGTTCTCAGTTACAAATGCGCTCCAACCGATGTTTGATTTTTTATCCATCTGTGAAAATTAATGATGTGATTGCCATGTAATTATTCCAGAAACTGATCGTAATCAGCCTTTTAAATCTATGGAACATTCTGTTTTCTTTATACTGTAAGATTCCAGTTCTTACTTCTGCATTTTGAACATCCAAATTGAATTTCATATGTTGCGTGTTTCAAAAAAAACTGATGGTGACGATGTAGCATTGGCTATCTCGATTGCGCGGATGTTGCTGGACCGAGTCGCTGAAGGTATTTGATCGTAATATTTACTAGCTTAGGTCGAGTCATCAATGAGTGGTTTAAAATGTTTCCCGGGTAGAGAACAGTAATTTTGATCTTATAGTTGATATAGCATGGTGTTGTCGTCTGTGAGTAGCGACCTGTGCTGCGTTTCATTATAGAGCTGAGAAGGACAGGCAACGCAACCAGATGCATCTCCGATCCTGCATTGTAAAACAAGATCTAGTTTCCTTAAACTTGATTTTCTGGCTGAGAGTACACTGCACATCCATAATCTATTTTGGACATCACCATGAATTTGTACCAGCCCAGAGTAAGATGCTCTCTATCGCTCCCCAATTTATTGGGAAATGCATCTTAACAATTCAAGCTGCTTTGCAATTCTACGCAAAGGTGTACTCTATAAGCTGTTTCCAGATTAAATGCCAATCAAAAATCTAACCAAGACATTTTGCGCGTTTCATTAGTATGTCAGTTGTACACCATTCAGAGCCAGCTCTGGATCTCTGTAACTTTTTCTTTTTCTACTGAAGTAAACGCATTTCGTTTTGCTGCTGTAAATAAGAAACCATGTTTTTTGCGTTTTTTACTAATTTATTAATGGAATTTTCATTTTGAATTTGATTCATCCCAGTGAATTGGCTGAAAGTAAAAAATATAGCAAATGTCATCAATACACATTGCATTTTCCTATTGACGCTTTTATGCCGCCAAAACATCTCGTTAAATCGCTATGATGTTAAAAGCCTGACACTTCAATTGGAGAGGCCTTGCGGTACACCATTCTCTAGTACGTACCTTTCTGAGATGCGACTGCCCAACCGAACTTGGGAAGATCTGGTACCTTTAGGAAGCTGATATGAATTTCGTAAAAGTTGTCTCAGAATATTATTGTCGACAGTCTTATTGAAAGCTTTTTCCAGGTCAAAGAATACGGTAACCATATGTTTTCTTTTGATGAAGGTATTTCTGAATTGCCGTTTCCAGATTATTAGCTTGGTCATTGTAGAGTGATGTTGTCTGTATCCGCCACTGGTGTATGTAAGGAGTTTGGTTTTCTTTCCGAGAACACCATGTAGCCGGGTGTGACCATTTTTTCCAGATTTTCCAGACAGCATCGCCAGCGATAATCAGGTGATTAATTTTAGTTTTTAAATGATCCCTTGCCTGCTTTAAAAAGTGGAATTATGTATCGCTTCCCTTTCCAGACTTTGGAGTAATTACCCCCTTTGTGTCCCAAATGTTTTGTATATAGTTTAGCCCAAACGGTGGAACAGTATTCCTTCCGCAGTAATCGACGTAGTATGCTGTAAAGGGATATTGTCTGATCCTGCTGCCGGTGTCTCCAGCTGCATTTATGGCCCCTTGCAATTCTCTCCATGTGAAAAGGAGCATTATATGGCTTATCTGTATGGTTGTAAATCAGTACATGTTTCTTCTTCTTCTTTCTTTTTCTCGAGAAAGTCTTTAGGATAGCTGTTTGTGTCACTGGCCTCTGGAGCAATTGGGTCGCTAATGCATTGGCTATTTCGTAGGGTTGGCATATTTAGTTCCTTCGTGTTCTATGCATCAAGCCATGTGATTGGACTGAAAACATATTTTCCCAGCTATTGACCGGATTTTACTGCCATATTTCCGTGACTTTGGTCGTACCGAGATATGCGTTGGTTTACGTACTTTTCAGCTTGAGCGTTTTGCTGTTAGTATTTTCGGCAAGCGAGCGAAAACACGGAGACGCTTGAAAGGCAAATAAGATTGTCTTGGCGGTTGGTGTACGTCTATATCTATTGAGGCTTTTCTTTCTCCCTTATTGCCTTTCTTTGGTCTCCGTATTCCCAACTGTACTGGAATCCGAGATGAAAAGCGGCCGCTAGTCTGTGGAATGTATTTTACAGCAAGAAGATATGACAGTGTTGGTGAAATCGCGGTAAGTCTTCTCCTGAGTTTCCACTGACATTTATTGGTGCGTATTAATGTCTGTGAAGCTGACCAGTCTGCGCGGTTGGTACACCCAACGTTTTGGTAAATGTACTCTGTCTTGGCATTTTGGTGATATCAAACAGAGGGAAAGTGATCACTCTGGATGAAGATCTGCAGTGGTTTCTAGTCAGCGAGTTGCAAGATTTGGACTAACATATTGAGAGAATCTATGGCCTGCAGAATGAGCCATTTCTAGGTCATTCAAAATGCAGTGCTTGCTCCTGTGTTTAAAAGTACGTATTCATTGTTAGTAGCAAGTCATTGTGATTCTGCGGCTGGGGTCATTGTTCCTAGAACAGCCCCCATGTTGGTTACTGTGAGAATTTGAATCGCCTACAATTAGAAATGTAGGCTGTAGTTGATCGGTCAGGGTCTTGTAGATCTTCAATTCGCATGAAGGCAATCGGGTAAGTAGTATATGCAAACATACCGTCAATTCTTCAATGGGCTTTATAAGGTTACAGCTACTGCTGTAGAGGTTGTGTTGATATCAAGACGACTAGCAGATGGGTATTGCTGATCAATATGGCAAAACACCACCTCTAGCTCGTCTATCAGGTTCGAACGTCACTGCCCGAAAGGCTTTTAATTTCCTTCTAAAATTAAAAGCCGGTTCCCTTCTTGGTTTGAAAATGAGTATCCTTGTAAAAGGACACACACACCACATGGAGTGTTAATTGGCCAGAGCAATTCAGCTCTCAGTAATGCGAGATACAGCCGTTGATATTCCATTGAATTATATTTTCCATGGTTAGAATGGGGTTCTTCTTCTATAGGATGCGTAGATCTTGCTTATTTTCTTGGTTTTCCTTTTGGCCATCCGTTCTTCTTTCTCTTCTTACGCGGGGTTTTGCATAGATGGATGGATTGGTAATCATTATTTTCAGCACTTATCATCGAACTTGTCTCAGAGCCTGTGGTTGTGTCTTGATCATTGGACATTGATGATTTAAATTTTTGTTTGAGGAAGTTGTTTTTGGTGTGCTTAGGAGAACGAGGCGATCGACTTCGATAGCCTGTTGTCGATACTTCTTTGCTGGGTATGGCTGCAGGCGCAGCTACTGGATTTCTTTCTGCCACATTTGGTGGGGGTCTTGAAGATTCTTTTTCATTCACCATTTCACTTTGAGCGTTTGTGGTTAAGTCTTCGGTGTTGATTTTGTTATTGTGAATTTCATTAAAGTACTTTTCTATGCATCGGGTTATTGCAGGCATTAGTTTTTTCACTACTAAAGAAGGTAAATTTGTGCTTTTAGTAACTGCTTCCACGTATGTAATATTTCCTTTATTTTCAGGACACACAAGTTTTTTTTTTGCTTCAGCATTGCTGATCTTCTGTCTGGCTTTCACTTGTTGTATTGCTGCCTCCTGCTTATATATTGGGCAGTCTCTTGACCTCGATGAATGTTGTCCACAGCAATTAATGCATTTGATAGGATCTAGGCATGGATCATCACTATGAAATGGCTTACCACAAAGACACACTTTGATTCTCGCACATCTAGATGCTGGGTGTTCAAATCGTAAACATTGAAAACACATTGGTTGAGGAATGAACATTCGAACGGTTAGACGATGAATTCCTGCTTTAATCTTCTCTGGAAAGAGAGATCGAGATGGGGGTCATTGACCCAGAAGCTAAAGTACAATATTGTTATAAGTTCTCTACAATTATACAATGCAAATGGTATATAATACATTGAATGTCATTGTTAATATTACTTTCCTTTCCTGACCTTTTTCTGTATTCCGCGATAACATGGACTGAAGCACCTCGAAGGGTTGGCTTAGGTTCCGAAGGAGACAAGCTACGAGAAATATTATTTTTTAAATGATTACATAATTCTAATATAAATATTTATATCAATTTTGAAAAATAAAGAAGGGAACAAACGAAACCTCTTAGGCCCTTTCAGGAGGTGGGGGATGGCCGGCCCCCAAGGATCTGCCAGAGCTCAACAGTTTGGGGATGCATCTGTTGTTGGAACGAACGGTTCATGAAGATCAGAGAACCTTATGTTATAATAACGACCAATTCACCAAAAGCAGGTATTAATAATAAGGAAAATCATTAAGTAGCATTGTGCATATTATATTTGCAATTTTATTGCAGACATTTATTGTATTGTCAAGAGATTGTAAAGTGAATAATTGATTTGTAAAATCCTTCAATTAAGAGAGAAGAATATTTCTAATTTGAAAAAGAAAATGAGAAATAATTTAACTTGGTGGCTCAGAGCGAAGTTGTTTGCCTTTCATCAAGGAGGATTGGGTTTGATTCTCGGACAATCACATGCGAAATTTACTCAGACAAAACCTCTTTGCCTGCTTCACAGGGTCTACCCCAACCTCCGTGAAGTGTCCTAAACCCTACCTCTTTCCTAATTCTGATAGCTGAGTTCTGACGCCGGAGCCAATGTGGGAGGCGTGTATGCGGAAAGTCTACCTGGTCCTCTGGACGAAGAACGCACTACTAAGACTCAAAGTTCAACATTAAAGAATAATAACGGAAGATTACTCTAATAAAGTAATGAAGGATTACTCCAAAAGCGCTCAACGCCCAAGATGGGGTTAGGAGACACGCTGCGTTATGATGAAGATGCAACAAATATAAAAACAACCTATTTCAAGACTTCACAGGATATAAGTGGAAAACGGGGGCACTTAGCAATAAATTATAGAATGGATTCAATCCTAAATGACTCACTTTATTACTGATGTTCAATAACCCCACATAAAACTTTAATATCCTCTCCAGTTTGTTTGGTCCTCAAGTGATTTCCGGCATTGGAACATCTGGAGGGGGAGATATGCTTTGACACACCATATAATCTTTATATTCAATCTCTCATACAGAGAGGATATTAGGAACTATGATCAATATCATGAACTTATTAACATTATAATAATAATAATTAAATATGACTTTTTATTTACAATATGGACATTTATTACATAAATTATTTTTCTAAGAATTTAATTCAAAATCTCTAAATTTATCAAGTGCACTGACTTTACACAGTTCTTGAAAATCTTCTGGTTTCTTCTTGCTGCAACAAAATTATAGACCATTATTTGAAGTAATGTCTATTCAAAAAGACACTAAAATAAAAAAAAGAACAAAAGTTATGAAATTTTAGAAACTGTGTATTCTGTATACTCTCAACCACATTTTAACTGTCATGATTCACAGAAAAGTTTACTTACTAGTAATTGAACCACATCAATTCAATATCTTTCTTCTTTTCCCAGTGATGAACATAATACTGACACCTTTCGGAAGGGCGCATAGTATTGCAAAATATACTATATATTTCATTATCTTGATACTGAAAAAACCAACAATAAACATCAATTTACTGCATAAATTCATACTTCTGAAGCTTATAATTTTAAATGAAGAGACAATTAAAGTGAATTATTGGTGTTAACTCACATGCCATAAATTTGCTTTTTCTTTTATGGTATCTGCAAAAGAACCTGGCTCTTGAGGAAGCCCTTCCACCTGCAACAGGAATTAAACATTTAAGAATTGGAGTTTTGTTTACACAAAACTTTTAAGAAATTAACCTGTATGTTGTTGTACCAGCTAAAACAGAAATATTTTGAACATAAGTTTAACTTTGTGAATAGGGCATCAAAACGGTTTTCTTCTAAACTGCATAGGATTTTAAAACTGCAACTTAAAAACTGAATATCATTTGTGAAAACACTGCACATTAAATTCATGGGGATTACTTATTAAATAATCCTAATAATGTTCTTAATTTGTTGCATAAAAGCTAAATATGACATATTACTGAAATACAATAGATATAAACATGCATGGAAAATTAATATTTTTTTAAATAAGCCTGACATGAAACACACTTACAAAGTTTGAGAGTAGTGGCAAGCTTACATAAATACATTTTTTTAAAAAGCATGGAAATGATGTCTTTATTCCCAACCTAAAGATATTAATGAAAGCATGCACCTCAAATTAGGACTTGAATAAAAGAGCTAAATTAGCTCAATAAATGAAGAAATTTCAAGGGAACTACTCTGAGAAATATCCTTTTCTAAAAATAATAATAATAATAATAATAATAATAATAATAATATATTTGTCACACAAATACAGCATACGCCATGTATGACAAGTCAGGATATGTATATAATTATATGATACACAATACAAATATTTCTAAAAATTAAAAACAAGACATAATTTAAATTTAAAATTAAATTCTCCTACTAAATACAATATCATGGAAAGCTAATTAATTTTGTACATGGTAATGTAAGATGACAAGTAAAAAATCAATAATAATAAAAAAAGAAATTCTTCATAGATTCGTGCCTAGGCTGGGTCCGCCCTTTATATCCAACAACCAGTTTAGGGGGGTTTGAAAACATGCAACAGAGAATAAGTATAATCTTTCTATTGACTGATCCTTTTAAAATAAAATGATTTTAAACCATTAAAAGCATCTTTACAAAATTCTCAATGCAATTGCTAGGACTTGCAATGTTTCCCGTTGTTTTTCTAGGCAAGAAGTGCGGACTATTCTAATTAGCAAATTTATGTGCAAGTTATAACACATTTCAATTCAGGAACAATCAATGACTAGAGTAACAGCTGTAATTGTATATGGAGGTTGAGCAAAAGCCGTTACCGAAAGGTTATCCACAACAAGACTGAAATGTTACTAAAAACAGAGTACAAACTGAATTAACAACAAACATGAGATATTTGACAAATAATACACTAGAATTGGAGTAAGATACCCAGGTACAAATATAAATAATTTAGTAATAATGGGATAATCAGAACCGAAATCATCTTGTTTCCAAAGCATTGCCACTCTTGGTCTATGAGGTATAAACTATGTACATACCTCTACTTTCTTTGTAATAATGTACAACATTTTCTTGCAATAATGAAGAACACTTCTTAAAGTTGGATTTACTTCTTTTACTAATGTGTTCCATATTGTCTTGTCTGGTTCTGCATGTGGACTTCGCTGAAAGTAAGTTTATTAATTATTTACTTGTTTTTAAACCTGACAAAAACACAACATTGGTTGCACTTTATCCTATACCAAAGTATACTTTCAATCTCAGCATGATTATATTATTGCAGTCACAACAGAATTCTTGCGCTGTTAATAATGTTCTTAAGGTAATTATACTCCCTTGGATATTTCAGTACATTTTCTTTTACTTGTAATCCTACCCTCAACATACAATACTAACTCAAATTTGAATTTAATTTATAAGATGTAAGTATACTACTGAATTAGGAAAGCTTTAGATATTTGTTTTAGTTTCAAAATGGTTTTGATTCTGTAAAATTTCCTTGAAAAATAACAGGGCTTTTGCACTTTCCAGAATTTCAAAATCTCTGACTTTTTCAAGTTTTCTAGTCCTGAAATTTTGTTAACAAATTTTCGGTCGAACAAGTAAAAAAAAAATATCTGTAAAAAGTTAACTTTGTCATTTTGATATTCAATGAAAAAATTACAGAAAACGTAAACGAAATAATCTGACTAAGACCTTTTTCAAAAGGGGACACTTTGCTGTATTCAAAACCAAAGATTTATTCAAATAAATGAAGCACCACACTGAAACATTTTCCTCCTTTTAGTATTTTGAAATGCATAATTTGTATGTTGAAATGAAAATAAAATATGCTGGTGGTGACAACTCTTTACACTACCAGAAGATACTAGACTTAAATATATAGCCTACCCATGTACAGATAGGGATGACAACACACTAAATAATATAGTATATATACAAATACTAACACACACACACACACACACACACACACACAAATATAAAACTGAAATAATAAAATAAAGGTTAAAGTAATTAGCTCATATGTATACCACATTATCACAAGATGAAGATTTCTAGAACAAAGTTCAGTAAAGTATTTCACACCGCATCTGAGGTCTGAAAGTGTTCTTTTTTGTATATGCCTCTTGCAAAAGACAATATGTCACCACATTGTCTTTTGAACGATTCTACAGAAGTCAGAGACGGAAGTTTTTGAGAGTTGGTTCTGAACGTCTACAACTCTATTCATTAGTATAGTCGGGAGCTGACTTGATTGCGAGGTTGAGTAATGCGCTTGGCGTTCTTGGAAGCTGACCTCCGCCTGCTTAGTCCGCAAGTATTACCTATCCCAAGAATATTGCTCCATGTGTTCATATGCAAAAATTAAAACTGCAAATGATATTAGGTAAAACAAGTCAAAGACACCCCGCTCCCAACATGCAAACAAGACAGCTCTCGACGATAAAAACCTCTACTGTCCTAGCTTTAACTTGGCTTTCAATAACTGCAACGAATTCTTAAAATAAAGATTGTGATTACTGCGAAATTTCTCGTGAATTTAAACTATAGGGTCTGTAAAGAACATCAAATGTCTCGATCATATCAGTATGAGTTCTCCTCTCTCAGTGGCAGCAACTCAAGTTTAACTAGTCTTTGATCATAGTAAAGACCTCTGAAGATCAATTGGGATTTGGGTGGCTCTTCTCTGGACCCTTTCAGATCAATGTTCTTAATAAGACAAGGGTGTCAAAGTACAGAGCCAAAAATCAATATACGCAAAACACAAGTCTTGCATAGATGCAAAGGTATCACGTCTACACGTTTTGAATGCCCCAGGTAGAGAGAAGTTAGCATTTTTGTCCAAAAGTGATATGTGTATTTCTCACATGAGGTTGTCCATCATCCGAATACTCAAATCTTTCATCACTATAGTGGGAGTTATGGATTGTCTCTCTCCCAACATGAATAACGCATGCATTTAGCTGTGTTGAGAGGAATTCACCATGTTTCTGACCAATGTTATAGTGCCTCGAGGTTCTTTTGAAAGTGAACATGGTCAGTCACAGTCAGTAAAATTTTGTATCATCCGATTACGTCATAGAGCTAGATGTCATACCATGCGACAAGTCACTGGTATATAGAATGAAGAGTAGTGGACCCAACCCAGAGCCTTGAGGAACCCCATTAGAGATGGTCTCAATTATAGATTTTCAACTACCAATTTTTACACAATAACTGCAATATTGAAGGAAGGCTTGGATCCACCATTAGAGCTTCCCCTTAATCCCAAAGTCCTCGAGTTTGTGGAGTAGCCCCAGGATGGGAACTTTACTGAATACTTTGCAGAAATTTAGGTACATGACATCACCTGGAGGGCATTACCCAAAGCTTTAGAGTAATCATGAAGACAGATAAGGGGTTTCAAAATAAGTGAATGTTCAGGCACAAAACCCTCTTGGTTTGAAGCAATTCGCACCGTTGCCACTGCGAAATCAAGGATTTGCTTGACTCAAAGTTCCAGAACTTAAGCTAGTTATGCTGATGGGTCGATAGTTTTTGAGTATTGGGATCCAGTGTACTTCCTTTCTTCAATATAAGGATGATATAAGCTGTTTTCCTGTGTTCTGGTAGGGTTTTGGTATCAAGAATCTGTCGGAAAATATCGTGTAAGGTACGCACAAGCTCAGCCGCACAATTCTGCAGAAGAGAGGAATCCCGTCGACTCCTGCTGCAGAAACAGGATTGAGTTATTGTAGAACACTGCAATGTAAATTTCGTGAAAGATGGCATACTCCAAACTTTCTATACGTGGACCATTGTTTGGAATTGGACCACAGATTCAACAGTGTACAAATTTTGAAGTGTATCTGCAAAAGTCAGCTATTTCCTGTGTTTCACCCTTTTGGAGATAAATTGATGGTGAAACCAAGACTCTGGATGAGATTTGTCTATGTATGTATGTATGTATGTATGAGCTTTTCCTTTTGCCTGAGCAATGCCATTCTCAAAGTTCTTCGAAGGACTCTTAAGTTCCTTGGCAATAAGGTTAAGTGGTGCTTTGATTACAAAGCATAGCATTGCTGTTGACTAGTGTGGTTAAATTTGTCCCACTGACTCTTCTATGTCCGGAATAAGTATTCTCTTGTTTATCAAGGGTCTGGACCTGTTAGCTTTCAGATGATCAAGCAAGTGTTGATTCAAGGCATCAAGAAGAGTGGAGACCAAGGCACGCCACTTCCATGTCCTGATAATTACATCAGTGCAGATGAACTGCTGGATATTGCTTTTGGCAACTTCAAAGCATGCGCGTCAGTAATTTTTCCGCTTGACAGAATGTTGAGATTGATTTAACAAGTCAATCAGTAAATTAATAGACAGAACCCCACGATCACTACTTCCAATAAGGATGTGTACGGTAGGTGGTAAGGTGGTTTCATCATTAGTCGAAATCAGATCTGAAGTAAGACGCTGACCTTCCACAAACCTTGAATTACCAGTAACCAATCGGGCGAAACAAACAGACTGCAAGAAACTCCCTGGCAACAAGCGAGTGATAGTCTGACATACATTCACAAGTAGAAAACGCCCAGCATATCGACTTCTGCCATTTCCCTGGCGTGAATCAAATCAGTGGGCTAACAATCCTGAGAATATATTTCTGTAGCTAATAGTGGATGATGGGTCATCTACCTTACGTGTTGCCTGAAGCTGGCTAGCAATCCATAGCGGACCACGACTACATGCCATCATTTAATACTAATTAATTACACCAGCCATTTTCGAGAAATCGAGGGTCAGGTAGCTTCAGTCTCAATACACTCAACTCCTCTCGTTACCGGGGCATTTGATCACAGCTGATGGAGATCATCTACGAAAGACCTTTTCTTTGTCTTCTTTGGAGTTCAATGACCAGTTCTGTTTATGTAAGAATATGTTTTAATGGTCTAGGTTTGTCAAGGACTAATTTTCCCAGTCTCATGGCCTGTATAATGCAACTATCCAGATCGGTAGAGGATAGCTAGGTCCGAGCGTTTAGATTCCAGAGAATCTCAAACCTTTTCTGTATTTTCGTCTCTTCTTATAACAGCCGTATCAATAGTGCTCTCTGAATCATCCCGGAGAATATCTTTTTTTCTCTAAGCGTTGTTTCTGGACCTCTTCGGTGACACATTGGATGTTTGGCTAGTGAGTTTGAGGCCACGAGACTCGCGAGCTAGCTCGGTCTCAGAACTCAACTTTCTGTCGGTGGCGAAGGTTCACTGTTCCGTTTCTAGATTTTGACACGTATTCCCCAATTTTCTATTAGGACGCTGTCTTTTAATTTCACCTTCACAACACGCAGTTTTTTCCGGTAGTTTTTCATATCAGAAGCGAGACATAACATCCTTAATATCGTATTTTTACGACAGCATGCTGTTCGATTTGAGTTTTTCGAACTCTTTTTCATGATTTTACAATTTTTACCTTTCGAGTTCTGGCTTAACCCTTCGAGTACCAGTGGACTGGCCCCAAAATCACCATTTAATTTTTTTGTTCGGAAATTCCAGGGGCGTTGGCGCAAAACCACCGACGCTAATGCGACGCAGAGACATCTAGCGGTAGTCTGACGTACTTTCACGAATTGAACTCCTTGTACTGGTCGTTTAGAAATGTGAAAAGAAAACTGTTGCCGCTACGATTTTGCTTCTAAATCGTATGAGTTTTCTTTTTGTAATATTTTTTTTATAATTTACTTGAAGCTAGGATGTGTTTTTTCGTAAATTCGTAAAAACTTATTTTTACGTAAATTCGAATGTATACTAGTAGTTTTACGTGATTTTGACCAGACACCACTGGACCACAACGTACTTTCATGAATTTTGTTATTGGTCTGTAATTTGTGGATTATATTTGTGACGTGTAGCTTAATTATTTGTTTTATGCATTATGAGTGTGTGGAAGTTTCAAGATGTTACATATACATAATCTAATTGTCGGTGGTTTAGAAGAAATTCTGAGCGATGTGGATTCAGAAGAACCTATTGCAGTTCAAGGAAGTTCACGTTGTTGTTCACATTGTAGCACAAAAGCTGAGCCCCGCAGGACCAAATATAACTACATAGTGTGTAATGTGGGGTTGTCTGGGCAAAATGAGAAACAAATTTCGAAACATTCAACAGAAAAAATGGACAGTTAAAGGCAATTGTCCCAGTGGTGTCTCAGCGAAACCTCCTTCCTAACATAAGTATTTATTTGTGCCATGAACATTTTTATTGTATTTGAAATTATTTACAAAGAATAGTATAATTTTAAAAAAATCGTTTGGACTCAAAGACTACAGCAGTTTGGTAAAAGTTTCAACACCATTATTCGATTGGGGATATGTAGCGTTAGTGGTCAGGTTGAAATCCTCAGTGGGTGAATGGAAGTTGGAGTCGCAGTTCGAAGGCCACAACCCACTATCCGTATCGGCCAAGCAACAGTTGAAACCCACTTCTTCGTAAAGTAAAATTACCCTAGCTTTACAGTTATGTGCAGAACTTTCCCCAGATCTGCATACTTTATGAGATTCAGCCAACATTACATCCGTTTTTAAAAAGGTGGCTATCTAGATTCAAGTACCCTGAGCGAAGTCTGGAAGATGTGATTCTTGACTATGCTTTGAGAACAGGTAGCGTTCTCGCGCCAACCATTCATACCAACGAGATCTACATTGGCAAATATATTATCTTCTATTTGGGTTTCTCCAAAGCTTTCGATAACTTACATCGTAGGCTGCAGCACAAACTTGCTCATCGTGGTAGAAGGGGGAAGCGTCAGTTTTCCATACAGTCCTCCCTCAACGATCGTCATTTTTTCGTGAAAATTAGAAATAAAAGTCATCACAGGAGCATTTAGCGAGGAGTTCCCGAGGGTTCAGTAATGGGACGTAAATCTTATTTATTTATATACACGCAACTGGGCAACTATACATAATTAGGAAACATCACAGACTGCGTGTATATTGCAACATGTGGTTCCCAGCCCGGAGTGTCTAGGCTACACCGTTGGAAGAGGAAGAGGCAGAGGAAGAGGAGGAGGAAGAGGAGGAGGAATAGGAAGAGGAGGAGGAGGAGGAAGAGGAGGAAGAGGAGGAGGAAGAGGAGGAGGAGGAGGAAGAAGAGGAAGAAGAGGAAGAGGAGGAAGAGGAAGAAGAGGAAGAGGAGGAGGAGGAGGAGGAGGAGGAGGGTCGAATTTGGCGGGCTGCCGAGCGCGCGCGCATCGTCGCTGCCGACCTGCTCAGCCGGCCGGAGAGTTCATGACGTAATGGACGCGCAGAGTGGTAAAGAAGAGCGGGTTGCCTGCCGGCCTGGGTGGTTTTGGGACGCGAGAGGTTGAAAAAAAAGTGTACAATTGGGGAGCGGTAGTGCCCGTGGTGCACGAATGCCGAAGCGAAACGGCCACGGAAGCTGCTGCACCTAGATTTTCGGCCGTTACCTGCATCACCGGGTAAGAATTAGAGCTGCGCGGAGACTAATGTTCGGCGTCACCAGCCCACTGGCCGTCGCAGGCTAGCGCCGTTGCGAGGGGGGGGGGGACAAGGCCCCGAGAAGAGGTCGGTAATATCTGTCTTTACAATTTTTCTCATCTTTTGCTATGACTGCGAGAAACTGCAAAGTCGCCCAGTTCGCCAAGACGTAATCGGCACTTGACTGTTTTCCCGTAGTGTCCCAAGTCCACTCGCAATTTTACATTTGTGTATAACATACGATAACTTCAAATCATCTGCATACATAAAAATGTGCAAGTAGAAAGATTAAATTTAATATAATTTACAAATAAAATAAATAATAATGGGCACAAGTCGGAACCATGAGGAACACCTTAGGTAACCATTATATCTCAAAAACAATATTTAAAATTTAGAACCCTACCTATCAAATAATTTTCTATTCATTTCAAGAAGGTTCCATGTATTCCTTAGTTACAGTTTCTTTATTAGTATTTTATGGCTGATGGTAACAAATGCTTCAGAGAATGCTGCATAAATTGTATCAATCTGTAAATTTGATTCTAATTTTTCCGAAGTATAATGTTGGAACATCAATAAATTTGTCAATGTTGAATGTTGGCGTCTAAAGCCATGGTGTTTGTCCATAACAATACTACGAAACAGCGAGTTTGTCGGTTATGATAAATTCAAATAATTTTGATGTAATACTCAATTTTGAGATATATCTGCAATTCTTTATATCTGAATGAAAATCAGATTTATGAAAAGGAGTTATGAACCTCCTTTTTCAGACAGATGGAAAAGAACCCTCTAAAATTGATTTTAAAAATAGGTGGTGTAGTATTGAAGTTAAATTAGTTGGACAATTTTTCACAAAATATTGATGTTATTCCGTCCTGCCCAGAGCCCATTTTAGTAATTAATTTTCCAATTGATGTGAAAACATAGAGTTGTGTTAGTTCAATAAGCGATATATTATTTTTTTAGTCATAATTGTTTTTATTTCTCTATCAGTATCATTATTCATAGTGTAAATTGATTCAAAGAAATTAGCAAATAAATTCATTATTTCCTCCCCTATTTTAGCTCTGATACCATTAAGGGACATGACATTTGGTTAACTATTTATTCCGCCTGTAGAGTTTGTAAACTTCCAAAAAGATTTAATATCAAATTAATATTGGATTTTACTTTAAATATGTAAAATGTATGATCTTATTTACTTTATACACTAGCGACCTGCCAAACTGCACTCTCACTCCAAGATTTATGCAGACTTCTCCAAATTCTGTTCAAATCTGGTGAAACATTAATACTTTCAAGAAGACTTGGAGAGAGGCCAAAAGCCTGGATGCTACCTTTGAATGAAGCAAAATGCATAGTGATGTATAATAAAACTTTTAACACCAATCAAAATTACAAAATAGGCAGAAGGAATGTAGTTGAAATTGAGTTTAAGAAGGACTTAGAGATCATGATTTCTAATGATCTCAAATGGAAAAATCATGAGAATTACACTGCAAATAAGTGACGCTTCACCAGAACATACTTTCTCACATTATTGGAAAGTTATGCATTACTGAAATAGTTGCGCTACTGACACTTCAGTTATTACTTGAAAATATCCAATTCAAACAAAGCGACTGTGATGTATTCATTTTGACAGTCAGGAGAATCAATCATTTCCTACTTTTACTAACGAAAAAATCAAAATAAATTTATTTGTTACAGTATTTGAAGTACATAATATAGAAAAGCAATAACAATTTCACACAAGCTTGCTTTAATTACATTGAAGTGGGCTTACAATTTCTGAATACCATTACCACTGATCAATCATACAATGATTTGCATCATACTGTCATTACAATCGACAACAATGGGATGAATTCAAAGAATCTCGAAATCACAGTTGCCATTTAGTGAATTAACGCACCAATCCAAGTCATTGTCACAAGAGAGGTTGGTAGTAACAAAGCCCGATAAAACATTTCATTTTGCCTGTCAACTCGCCTACAAAAACTGTTCCAATGTCGTATGTTTGTTTGAGAAAAAGTTAAAATTATACAAAATAGTAAATAAACGAATATCATAAAAAAAATTTGTGGATACAACAGTTAAAAATTACTCACTTGTGACTTCACCTTTCACATTGTGCATATTTGAATAAACATGTAAATTTGTGGCAAGTACTGCACAAATTTCCAACTCTTGTGCTATTGTATTGATTACAGTTTTACAAAAACAGTTTTATATTAATTTTTTCTGCTTGCTAATCAGATAGTAATGTGTCATGGCATCAAAGAAAGCATGGGAAATTTGAATTTGCCACTGTGGATTTTTCCAATTTTTGAAAATACAGAGAGTGCAGCAGAAATGGGACCAGGACCACTTTCATTACTGTCTTTTGCCACAAAAATTTATAAAAAAATAACAGAAAAAAATTTGGTACGGTTTCTGAGAAAATTATTGTTTAAAATTTAAAAATTGCCTAGGCTTGAGGCACAATTGTGCAAGATATACTCATAATTTCTTCCACTTGTAGTTGTAGAAAACACAAAAAATTTTGAATTTGGCAATTTTTGAAAAATCAGGGATTTTAACGAAAATGAGACACGCACAGATTGGGGAATTCTCTTAAATGTCCTTCACACTATCCAACAACAAAATTTAATCAAAAAGATTGGTGCCTTTATTGAAAATTACCCCCCCTCCCCCCCAAAAACAACTAAAATATTGGCTTCAAATTCAAGAGGCAGCTACATTTGCAAATCTGTCAGATCGATTGGGTAACATCAATTTTGGAGAAAATCGGCTGAATGGTTTAACTGCTACTGTTGTTCACAGACATTGGATGGACGTTTTGCGTCAATTACTTTTTCAATATCAAGAACCCATTAAAGAAGGATTCTGGTAACCCCACGAGTAAGAGGATTTTCCCCCCTATATTTAACAACTGGATTTATCCACTTTTTCATTACCAGAGCTCAGCAATAAGAATTTGCTGTCAAAAATTCACCTTTTCCCCCCAGCTTTATATAAATTCTACATACTGTGCAAGCAGTGGCGAAGACGTAAAAATTATAACGTGGGTATTTTCACAGAGTGCAACATCACAATAAGTAGTGATGTTTTTACCTATCTATACAAGATCTACATTCTTCCAATAGTTTAATTTCACACTATGATACAGAATCTTTACATTATTAAAGAAAAAAACCTGTTGGTAAATGGACAAAGAAGAGCCATGGTTATATTCACAGACAATTCAATGGTTCTTATGTAGTGAATAATTTGTTTAAACGTAAAACTGTATATGTTCTAAAAATTTCTGTTTGATGGTGTGTATTGCAATTGCAATCCGAACATAAGCCCTTACATGTATATTTTTTGAACTACTTACAACAATGTGGATCTTCTCTAATACATCATGTATTTTGTCAGCACTCCAATCTGGGAAGTCAGGGTACACTGCAATGGGAATATACCCACATAAATATATTTGATGTACACACACAATACAGTTGCATGGAAATGTTCATTCTATACCCACACACTTTGCTTCACTTAGGAACAAATGAAAGCTAAGAATTGTTCAAATAAAAAACAATTACAAGACAAAAACAAAAATTCTTCCTTTCAAAAAATGAAATGTTTATTCTCCTATGCTGAAGGTATGATGTTTATGTCCCTGAAAAACTTTAGACATGCTGAACATACAGTAGCAAAATATCATTATCAAGGAAACTTTCTGCAAATAATAACAACTTTCCACAACAAATTGCCTCAGGAGGTCCTCTAAATGATTTAAAAGTCATTAAATGCACAGCAACATAAAGGTCATGAACACAAGTACTTAATAAATGCACTCGTAGATTGTCTCATAGATTTAATATTGATAAGCATTAAAGCTTCCTTTCAACAGAGAATGCAGGCTAGAGATCTCACCACAAACTCACCTTTTGAGGATGATGAACCATTTGAAACACAAATTTTTCCATCCTTTGTGGAGAAATCATCTGCCTGTCTCATGTTACCAATTAAACCCTGCCCAAATCCACCCTGTTCTCTCATTCCTCTCCCTCTGTCAAAACCACTTTTGCCTCCTAATCCTCTGCCCCTGCCAACACCCTCCCCTCTGAATCCTCTGCCCCTGCCAAAACCCCCTTTGCCTCCTAATCCTCTGCCCATACCAAAACTCCCTTTGTCTCCAAATTCTCTGCCCCTGCCAAAACCTGCTTCGCCCCTAAATCCTATGCCTCTGCCAAAACTCCCTTCGTCTCCAGATTCTCTGTCCCTGTACAAACCTCCTTCGCCCCTGAGTCCTCTGACAAAACTCCCCTTTTCATCAAATTCTCTGCCCCTGACAAAACTTTCTTTGTCTCCAGATTCTCTGTCCCTGTCAAATCCTCCTTCCCCTTCGATTCCTCTGCCTCTGACAAAACTCCCTTTTTCATCAAATTCTCTGCCCCTGCTAAAACCACCTTCGTCTCTGAAACCTCTGCCCCTGCCAAAACTCTCTTTGTCTCCAGATACTCTGCCCTTGTCCTGAAATACTCCTCTTCCTCTACTCCCGCTTTCTCCAAATTCCCTCCCTCCTCTTCTCACAAACTCCCCTCTTCCAACTCTTTTTTCCAAAAATTCTTCCCCAAATTCTGCAGTCCCACTATTGTCAGACACTCCACTGCTGTTCAAACTCAGAAAACTTCTCTTCGCACTATCACTCTGTGCATCTTCGTTTTGTGGATGTGGCCTCTTGACTCCCTGTACAGATTCCATAGCAACACCTGAGAAAAAAGCAAAGGGGAGATAGATGATATTCAACATATAGCTACATATACTTATATATGTAGCTATATACGTAATCTACAAGATGCCACTACACATCCCCCATCAGGGCACAAAAACACTTCAAAGTGTGGATTCTGTGCCCTGCAAATTTTGCAGTTTAATAGTATTTATCCCTGAATGGTACGCTCCTTTCCTAGAATATATTTCCCCGACCTTTCTTGGTTTTCCAGTGCATTTTTTCTCTCCTATTAAGAATTGTATTTCACTCTTGAAGAAAATTTTGAGGCTACCCAGATACTAATTGTCAGCTCTCCAATTTTATTATGCAAACCTTTAAATTAACTATATTTTTTAACCAAATAAAAACAGAACAAAAAATAATGTTTGTTGCTGTAAGGCTGTGCTAATATTTTTAATGAGTTAAATATTGTACTATAACTATACCAAATTTTTCTTCTTCTAATGATTCTTCTACAAATTCCTTGATTTTCTCCAGTTTCCTATGATTTCCAGAAAGTATGCACCCTCATTACATTACAATCTGCAAATCGTTGTAAATATATAACCCATAATAAAATGAATGTGTTTGTGATATTAATTTTATTTTTGATTTAATACTTAATTTATGTAATGGTTATATTGGAACCATGTTTGACAGTTCACAGAAACATTTGCAACATTACTTCTGCCAAGTAGGTATGGGGCCGCAACAGGTTTGGCAATTGCAAAATGTGAAAAATTTTCCCACTCTGTTGTTAAGCTTACTACTGCAACCAGGTGTTGAAATCTATATTATTTGGCAAAGTAATTCTGAAAGTCTAAATGCATGTAAATTTTTGAGTCAATGATCCCCATCTCTCTTGGATTTGTTTTGTTCTTTTAATCTACTGAACAATTTCTACAAGAGCATCACACTTTGCTGGTCACTAAATGTAATTTCTCCACTATCAACAGTTAATTGAACATTTTTTGTGTAAAATCTTAATTACTTCACTGTTTCTATTAAATATATTTTGAATATTAAAATACTCCAGATCAGACAATTATAGTCTATAATATTAAAGCATATTAAGCTATTAAAGCATTTTTCATTCTGTAAAAATTCTCATTTTATTTATTAATTTCTCCTTAATAAATACAATGTACTGAAAATAATTAAAATTTCTCCCCTGAGCTTGTCTTCATACGTGCTACTCGTTAAAATCAGATCTTCCCAGATATGTTCATCACTAGAACATAAGTAACCATTGTTACACACAAATCATATAAAAATTAGTCTCACCGTTGGAGAAATCCACAGGTTAAATAAGTAACTGACAGTATGTAACGCCCCGTTTACGCGAGTTTAGTACTTCTCATTTGCACTTATATCCACGCGTAGTAAACAATAAGTTTCTTAGAAAATATTTTTGTAATGTATACACAATATTAAACAATGCATGCTGAAACACCGTGCGCTCGGATAGCGGAAGCGTCGCCCACGTGTCTGTGAAAACAACGTGCTCCCCCTCGGACGCTTTCGGACCACGACGGACCAGGAGCACAGACATCACAGTATCCGATTTTCCATGGTCTGAACGAGGGCCGTAAAACGTGATGAAAACGCGGAAATGATTTCTGCGCCACCTACCAAAATTGTGGAGTGAGCCGAACTAACATCTGACGTCATGCAATTCAGAAAACAGTTTAGGCGGTTCGAATCATTTCGCACGTATTTCTATTGTTCCAGGGAATAATATCCGATTGCATTTTCTGGCATTTGATCAGGGGAACACAATTATCCAATAGAGAACTTCGTTAAAACTGATTTTTTGTATCGATTAAAAGCCAGAAATCACTAGAACTAAATTGGAGAATAATAAAAAATATACACGCTGACTTAAATGTCACGCGAAATGACAGCAATAAGTTAGTTGGAATACATTTTACACACTGCACATCACAGAGAAACTCAAACGTTAAATTTGTGATGTAATTGCTGTAAAATAATTAATTTTGTACAAATATTGCAATTGATTTTCATATATAACAATAACAATAACAACAACAACAACAACAACAACAATAATAATAATAATAATAATAATAATAATAATAATAATAATAATAATAATAATAATAATAATAATAATACCCGTGTGTTGTCGGGGGATTTAGAAGAATAGCACCACGGGACCTCCCCTGCCGTAGAAGGCGACTAAACGGACCAGCTGTCTCCGCCGTCACTTCGCTAAAAATTCTATAATTACCATAAGCTTAGTGTGTGATTGCGGTACACTTTCGTCTTTTGTTTTCAGCCACTTCTGAAAGGTCAACCTTCGTATCGACCAATTCTGATGTTTCCCGCCCCGACGCAATTAGGTTGCTACGGCTAGGGAGTCGTTTCTAATCTACCCTTGTATTCTAACCCTATTTTTCACAGCCCTTCTTTTCTTCGGTTCTCTTTTAGCTGGTGGTAATTCAAAACGCTAGGAGGAGGCGACCCCGAAGAAAAAACAACAACGAAATGGAAGGTCTTTCAGGATCGACCATTACGGTGCAGGGGATCGGAGCCCCAGTATTGGCGGTCGGTGGTGAGCTAGCAGGCCACCGTCTGTCGTCAGCCAGGGACTGCAATTCCAGAGAAGTGGATCAATTGGCATCTCCGACAGATAATGCGGCAAGTGTGTTTGCTTCCTTTGTTGGAAGGCCAAAACTGCAGAGTTCACCCCCCCGCACGTACCGCCTCTACACCTGGAGCACCTACAGGAGTAAAGGAGTTCTAGGATCAAGAAGAGCTCATCCCCAAAGAGAAAAGGAATGCGGTGGACTGGGCGTTAGAAAGAATGAAAATTACTCAAAAGCTGGCTATACAAAATAAGAAGATTGTAGACAGTCTACCAGCTCAACTAACCGTAATTGGCAGAAATATGTTAAAGAATAACCCAATGAGAGTGAAGGAGACTTTGGCCACAACACAAGAAGAAGTGGAATGCTTTGAAAACAGACGGCTAGACATTGAAGAGGAGCAAAAGTGGATGCACGATAAATCGGTTCTCTTAGGGAAATTTGACGAACAAGCCGAGAATACGTAGCGATGTAGGGAGAGGGTTGAGATGACCCAAGGGGCTTCGAAAAAAGTACAGGGAGAACCCTAAGATCGACTTGCTCAAAACAAGAAAAGACAAGCTCTAAGTCCTCCAGAAGACAATAGACCCAACAAGAAAGACAAGCAGGTACAAGTCGTCGAATTAGATGGGCGTATCGAGAAACAAAACTCTAGTGAGGTTTGGCTGAAATTTCCTGAACACAGGAAGACATCTTTAAGGTGATGGCGTCAAAGGCTATCAGTTGGGAAGTTTCAGGAAGGTGGCTCGCCCTACAGGTCGGAGGGCCTCCTCAGATGACTGCGTTCATTCCGTGACTCAGTTGGAGGCCATCTCAGAGATGGCAGCTGCTTTTCTTCATATTTCTAATTAAGATCTCAATCTAATAATGAGATAGTCGGATAGATTGGGAAGTGGATAGGGATCGGATAGTGAGAAGAAAAAATAGATCTCAATCCAACAAGATAGATCGTGAACAATGGTGGCTCCAGATACAATTTTGAGGAGGGAGGGGGAATTCATGAATGGGAAGTGGAGGGGCTGTGGACAGAGAACTGAAGACCATAGATAAATTTCGAGAAATCAATAAATGTTTGACATTTTTTAAGTTTTAAACACAAAATACAAGACACGAAATATAACATAAATGGAAACATAAAATATAAATTTATAGTTTTCTTTAAGACTATAAAAACAAATTTACAGAGATTTGAAGACCTTATCATGGAACAGGTTTTGTGCACTACTGCATCCTGTAGGAGAACCGGAAGAAAAATATTAGAGTTCCAAAACGCGACAGTAGGTAGTCTATCGGGTCTGGTTTATTCCATAACTTGTCATAGTGCTCTATCCATTTCTCATCAGTAAAGAAATCTTCGAAGACGTTGTCTCTTGTTTCCACTCTGAGCCTCTTTATGATTTTAAAATATATTCTTTGTGGTTTGTGATGTCTCTCTATTTTTTTCTCAAATTTATGCCAGTCATCTCTTTTAATTTGCCTTGTTAATCTTCTTGTTTCTGCTCTACATCACGTATATTTTATGTAATCATTTGTAGTGTGTGTCTGCAGATATTTCTGGTATGCTTTCCTCTTCTTCATGATCACATCCTGAATTTCTTTATTCCAGGTCCTTAGACATTTTTGTTTTGGGGTAGGGTCTCTTTGATATCTTAATGTTTCTTCGGCTGTTTCTTTGATTATTGCCTTTGTGTTCACCAGAATCTTTCCACATTTTGTACGTCTTTTCTTTGTAGCTCTCTTTAAGGCGGCTGGTGGCTTACAGGTATCTGTTGCTGTTTCTTCTAATATGTAGGTTTTCAGCTTTGGTGTTGCTTTAATTGTCCTCTTTTTCTGTTTAATTTCTTGGATGTTCAGTTTCATTATATTTTCCACTAGGAAGTCTGTATTCAGTTTGTTTCCTCTGAAAACTATTGTATTCTTTACTTTATCAAATATTTCATTCACTATGATATAATATAATTCATATTACATTAAGGTATTGAATAATATTAACCAATATTAATAATAAAGGATTTGATATGTTTGAGGGTAAAGAGATATAATAACAGGGTGTAAACAATAATTCATTTTGCAATGGTACCAAGTAAATTGTTGAGTCTCAACAACATTTGTTTATACATTACAGAATTCATTCAGTTTATGTGGATATATAGCAACAATGTTCCACTTAAGGAATATTTAGAAGGGCTTGCCATCAGCTACTTTTATATTAACTGAGAATTTATTAAAAATTTATGCTGCACTTTATTATGGGTCTTTGTTAGCAGAGGACTTGCTAATACAGCTTGTGAGAGTCGCTATGTGCTCAAATATGACAGTTATATACATCTACCTACCAAATATTGATTATACTTTTTTCTTAATAAGTAGCAATAATTTGTAAATATAGAGTGCTACAAGGACCAGTATTTCATATTTAATGAAGAACACTTTATCAGACTGTTTTGGTTTAATTTTAAATATGCTTCTGAGACATTTTTTTGTAGGACCATATTGATATTTTTTGTGATATATATCTTAATATTGCAATACTATACCGTAGGTAGAGAGTGGATTATGCCATAGTAGATTGATAGTGCTGTACACAGACATCACCTAGGTATCTATGGTGCCCTGAGTTGCTTAACTACCAAGACTTCATGGAGTGTACTTAAGCAATTTGGCTAATGATGTCAGATAAAGTTCCAGAGAGTGTTGATATGTTTATTGTAAATTAGATTTTGATCAATGAATATAATAAAACTTTATGGCTGGTTGTTTGATTTGCAACCCTGTTATCAACTTTCACTTCAATGATTTGTTGGGAGTGATTATGATTAAGTTTAAAGTTTTGTCAACATTTAACAAGTAGCTTTTTTGTTTATTTAAAGATTTTTTCTGATTAGTTTTTAAATGATTTAAGTTGGATGAATTACTTATTAAAGTTGTATCATCTGCGTAAGAAATTACAGAGAATCCAGAGGAACTTTGAACATCATTAATGTACATCAGAAATAGCAATGGTCCTACCACTGATCCCTGTAGCACTTCTGGTAACAGTGTCAAATTTGATTTAACTTGAATTAGGGTTTTTTGAGAATGCCAGAAAATTTTGGACAGCGTTTATGTCCTGTGAGGTGTGATCTTCTGAGGTCATTAACTTGATCACTCATGTCAAAACAGTGAAGCTTTGTTAGCAGTATTATGTGTGACGCATGATCAAATGTTTTTTAGAAGGCAATGAAAATACCTGCTGCTGTTTCTCTATTCATTAATATGCTATTTATATAGCGACTAGATAGTACACACATTCCAGGTTTCATTCTAGCTAGTGGTTCAGTAGGCAAATAGGCAAATCACATCATGCTTATAGTTGTACTTGTATCTTTGTTAAAAATAATAGTCATTATGTGTCAATCACTGAATACTCCCCTTTCTTAAAAGATAAAGACTTTGAAATATTTATCTTAGACTAACCAAAACAAAGAATATGGATTTTATGTATATACCACAGCTCATCAGGAGACACAAATGCTTTCTTAAAAAATCTTGAAATTGTACTTGTTTAACTTGTTAAGATGCACAAACCATAAAATAATATTATGTAGTAATTTCAATATAAACTGTTTGTCACAATGAAATGATGAGAAACTATAATATATTATGTAATTATATACTATATGTAATTAAATCTTTTAACCTTCAAACTATTTAATTTTAGGGTAGTTTAGGGTAATGTTCTAGAAGGTAAATAAATTTACCTATCAGATACCCCCCCCCCCCCCCCCAAAAAAAAGCAGTACCACAATTCATTAAATGTAAATGGACACAAATTATTGCAGCTATTCAGTTGTCACATACAACACAGGCTTCAGTGACCATACAGTGCAAATTCTTAAACTAGAAAAGGATACAAAAGTTATTAAAGAAACACTTTATAGAGAATCCCGAAATTTCTCTCACAAAAAC